ATAACAGTGCAGAATTATTAGGACTACAGAATTGGCTGCTGCAATGGAGAAGCTAAATGAGCTGGAGAGGCAAAAAGAAGAGACCCTGAAATTCTACGCCCCAGCTTCCCTTCTCCATCGGCTACAAGGTAAAGTGTGCCACTGCAGATTATAATTGTTCTGAGCATTGTAACCATCTTTTATTGCTTCGGAAATGTAGAATTCTGTCAATCTCTAGGTAGAGTCTCAAAGATGTGTTTTTTGTTTGCAGAGGCAATTAACAAGACTGATGAGGAGTCCGACATCCTCCACAGGCAGCTTCTTGATAGAGAGATTGATCTCACAGCGTTTGTGCAGAAATACAAAAAGGTGCGTAACGCTTACCACAGGCGTGCACTCACACATCTTGCAGCGAAGACGTCTTTGAACAACTAAGCATAGCATAGCATAACTGGATGTATAGGTCAACACTGCGTATTGCTAAGTGATGCTGTTTACATTGGTACAACTCGCATACTATGTTCTTTTGTATTGTTATCATCCTTCAAGAGCGAGATTGTGGACAAAGAAAATGTTGGCTCTTTCTATGTGCGGGACTAGCTGTTTGTGTTTGTCACAAGTGTTTGCGTACATGGATTTTGTTTATATATAGTTAAAACCCAGCGGGCAAATTTTTTCCATTATTGTAGACTACATTGAGGTTATGTTGTAAATTAACGCAAACAATTAATCATTGAATGTATATCGTTAATTTACAACATAACCTCAATGTAGTCTACAATAATGGAAAAAATTTGACCGCTGGGTTTTAACTATATATAAACAAAATCCATGTACGCAAACACTTGTGACAAACACAATATGGGGTTTTATGGTGTTTGTTGTTTGCTGAGGACATAGTATTATTGGCGAAAGTAAAATGGGAATTAATGATATTTTAGGAATTTATTGAGAAATTTTAGATTCAAAAGGATTTAAGGTAAATAGGAACAAAAAAGCAATTATAGAATGTAATTTAAAGTTATAGTCCGATAACTTGAACAATCACAATCTTGGCAATTATTTTAGGGTAAATTTCTTTTAATCCCTTTGTGGTTTGGCTATTTTGCACATTATCCCCCTCACATTTAAAAATAAGCACATCATCTCGATGTGTTTTGTGGTGAAGTGTTGTAGAGAAGTGATTTTAAAGAAGTAGATAAACTTCACTATTCCCAGTACATACTTAATTGGAAATAATATGTTTGTTCTACATCGGGTAGACTAGAAAACTTCACTATTCTTTTGTGCTGTAAATAAATCTCTCGAGTCTTGATGTATAGAATAATTTACACTAAAGCAATATACAATTGATATTCCTTTTCTACTCTCTTCTTTCACAATTTGTATGGTTGTTGATGATTTTATCGGAGAACTTTGTAATGATGACAAGGCTCATCCACCATCTGCAATCCATAGTCTTCCACGATCCTTAGGTTCGGTTTTGATTGGTTTCTTTTACTTTTATTTTTTGACCGAAATCCATGGATTATTTCATGACATTGTATCTAAATTGAGTTGAAATTGTTTGTTGGTTGTCTAAATTGGGCTGCAATTGTTAAATAGTTGAAGAAATTGTAGGAGATTGAACTCCGATTGAAGGGATAAAGAAATCTTAGTGTGAGACATTGTGTGTTAAATCAGAGTTCCGATTGTAAAAAATTTGGATATTAACCAGAAAAATGAAATTTGTTGAATAAACGGATTAAATTCAAATCCAAAGTATTTTATCTATCATGAGTTAGAATTGATGAGAATTCAATCCGTTGACATGGTTATCCAAGAGAGTACCCGGCCACAGGGCGGACTAAGAAGAAATTGCCTTCTTAGGACTTTCTGTAAGAGTTTAAGACGCCTTGCATAGGACACTTTATTTGCCCATTTGACCTTCAAAATGGCTATCTATGGCAACAAGGCATGGACCCCGTAGAAGCTATCTAGTAGAAAATCTATTAGAGAAAAGATGAGATAACAGAAACACCCATGAAAATAAGAATCAATCAAATCATTGAATAGAACAATATACAAGTATTTGTCAAGGGATATTGCATAAATTATTAAGCACTTCTAAATATAATTTTAAAATCATCTCAGTAGGGAAGAACTCCACTACCCCGTCCCATGCCTAGGCGTGAGAAAGACATCAGCAATTTGGATGAAACACGATCCAAATGTCCTATTGATTGTGCCCTGTACGATCTGCTCGAGGAGGAAGAAGATGATGAACAAGTTTGTTCACTCTCAACTCGTACATCAATAGTAACAGGTGACAGATCCACAGACAATGATCGCTTAAATTCCGCAACCAGACTAGGTGGCCTCTGCTCCACGGTTAATACTAATGAAGCACAATGGCGCAACAAACCACGAGACTCATGAACTCCCGAAACAGAAGCGCTAACAACACTGTTTTGATCATGACCCTGATCATGAAATTGAGATTGAAGCTCAACCCTATTGCCTTCTTGATCAACACATTCCGGCGAAAAAGTCTGATCGGAATCTGCCATTAACGGTGCAACTATGCCGGACCGACAAACCGGGCAACTACTATGAGCGATGAACCATTGATCAATGCATGGTACATGAAATGCATGCCTGCAAATTGGTAACAAACGCACCATGTCCCCATCCTTTAGCTCTCCCAAGCAGACCACACATTCACTTTGATCGACACGAAAGAATTCATGTTGTTTGGTTGAGTATTGAAGGATTGGGATTGTTCCGAGAATTTTCTCTTCCACCCCAGTTGCCAATCGGCCTCCAAGCTCCGGTTGCGACACCTGGACGGAAGTTTCTGGCCTCCTCCGGCAATATTTAGCCAGTATGAGATGGTATAGTACTATTGCCATGTATGTGATGAGTATGCCTCCCAGGGATATCAGTAGGGGAGTGATGAAAGAATTGGGAGATGAGGGAGGTGGTGAAGTTACATTCTCCATGATTCGTAAGACAATAATGGGAATGATTTGGATTAAAGCTGTTTATAATGTCTGGTTCTTATGGGGAGTTTGATATGGTTGAGTGGAGTATCTTGTTGTTCCTTTCTGAAGTGAGTCTTACTACATACTCGGTGGATGTAATGCTGTGTCATCATTGATAATTTAATATATGATACCACCAACTAATTAATAAAAAGATATCATACAAATTTGTTGATTCTACTATTCTGACGTTGTATCTTATGGTCGTTCTAACAAAATGGGGATTTTGTCCTTTGAAATCAACGTGGGTGTAGACGTGTCTTTTTGTGCATGGAAGCTGACCACAAGGTTCCAAGTCTGTGGTGGTAATTGCAACAAGTGGAACTTTGGGGGCTGTGATGCCTATATTTTAGTGCATAAGTTTTGGAATTTTGGACAGAGAGCGAGAGAGAGAGAGAGAGAGATCGGTGGAGATGGAGTTAGGTGCATTGATATCATCTTATGCACCAAGAATTTTGACTTCGTGCTGTTCATCTTATGCATCCCGAAGCACACACATCCAGACAGGTGTAACAACACAATGGAAAAGTTATATTATATAAAAATGCTAATAATAATCCCGTATCTAAACATAATTTATAATACTTGAAATTGCGCATTAATCTATTTTTTTTAACTACGTAATTTAAAATTAAAGTAGAGAAAAAGAAAAATTAGAGAGAGGTAAGAGAGAGAGTAGATAAAAAGATAGGTGTTAATTAATGAAATTGTTTGACATTAAAAAATGTGTTGATTGATATATCTGACCTTGGGAGCCATGCAAAGAATATAATGTTTTTGGGCAAAAAAAATGAGATGAATTTTGTATGATTGGATTATAGTTGAATTAAATTAGATTAATTTTGACTATGCATTTTTTATAAATTGATAATTCAACTTTTTAATTAGAATATTAGATCAACAATAAAAAAAATTTTAATTATAAAATTAGATCAATTTTTCTTTTTAATTCAATTTTTTAATTATAATAAAAAATTTAGTGAACAAATATATTATTATAATTATAATTAACATAATGGCCGATGGACACCCCACCCATTCAAATCAAAATAGAACAAGTATCTACGATTAAGGGGAATAGAATGTCATGGTGAGATAAACTTGAGCTGAGGGTTCCACCAGGCCAACCTGGGCAAAGAAAAATAGTTATAGCCTTACTAAACAAGCTAACGGGCTGCACTTTAAACCTTCATGCGATGCACTGGGCTTCCGGCTTAGCCCATGGACTGCAAGCCTTTTTGCCAACTCTTGTCTACACATTACAAATAGAAATTAGAGTACATCAAGAACCTAATAAGCTGCAAGTTTAGCTACAAATTCATTTGCATTGTACCCTCTATCTGTTTTCCGAGTAAATATCGGGTATAATAGTTACACCATATTAATGGTGCAACCGTTCAATGTTAAATAAATAATATAAAAATTAAATTTTGTGGACCCTTTTTTTTTTTTGGATAAGTGAAAATTACATATAACAGCGAAAATTTTCTCCTCACACATTCTCTAGATAAAATGTGTTTTATGAATAAACTAATAATAACCCGTGCCTAAAGACAAAATGAAATATAAAATTTGAACGCCCAAAAAAATATATCCCACTATATTAAATAATAAATTTTTTTTCTTTCATTTCTTTGATTACATCATTTAAAATCTATATTTATCTATTATTTTCTTAAAAATATTGACAATTTTTTTCAAAATATGTAATCCAAATTTTTTTTCCAACATATGTATATTATCATGTATAGATAATATTTGAAATAAAAATTATATTAAACTATAAATTAATCAAATATTAAAATAATTTGACATATGATAGAAGTGGGTGATGCAATATTTTTTGGGGGGGAAATATGCGGGAGATAAAATTCAACTTGTGAGCTATCTTATTATATAGATATTGGGTATAACGGTGACACTACATCATCATTAATTGTCACGTAGTATTACCAACCAATTATAAAACAATAAATAGGATTGGTGAATCCCACTATTCAAACATGGCAGGAGTAGTTATTGACAGTCAATAAAACAATAGAGCCCACTAAATCCACTTGATATTCTATCACTGGTTAGTGACATCACATCATCAATAACATATGATATCATCGTTACCTCCAATATTTTTTTGTGTTTACACAGGTAGAATATTAGATTTTAAATTCATAGTTATAGTTCTGGGCCTTTGAGAAGAGAATCCAAACATGGAAATGAATGTAAATACAGAAACACCCTAACTTCTTAATAACAACGGTTATAAATAGAGTCTTTTACATTATTTATTAGTCAGTGCACATGTGCGTTGTACGTTAACCATTTTGAATTGTTTTTTTTATTTGTGTTGTTTATTTTGTGTGATATGGATTATATGTTTTTGTTTTTGTTGTATGTAATGATGTTAGATATCAAAAATATTTTTATGTTATTCTGCATGTCCAAGACCAACCAAACTGAACAAAATATTTAGAGATGCAGAAGATATTTTTTTGGGCGGCCTTTATTTTGTAACTACCAACTTTTCGAGAAAATAAAGTTGCAGCAACTAAAATTTTAAAGTATGCAAGAAATCCCATCCACTGCATTTGTGCAATGACCTTCTCTATCTTTATAGGCCTTTGCCCTGTTGATGCGTTTAAACTCTTGGCATTTTCTACAGCATCTCCTTTATTACAGTGTACCATAATCTGTTCAAAAAGCTTTGGAACCTACCAAATTCTACATTGCAACCTTTCTAACTAATTATAAAGCCTCAACCATGCAGAATGAATAAACAAAACAATTGAAAAGAACAAAGAACAAAGACCCACAACACACTATTAGCATTTAATCAAAACCCTCAAACAACATAGGCCTTTTGTATTTAAAGAGAGCATGTATATGTACTAGCAATTGCCCATACCTGAAGTCACTATCTAATAAACAAAGAAATTGCAATTAATTGATCGTGCTCAACATTGATGTATAACACAAAAAATTGTATAGCAATAAGAATCCTACAAAATAAAATTTAAATAAATCAAGATGTTTGGTACAATTGACCTTTAAATATCAAATGACAAAAGTCATAAAACATTTAAAAGAAAATAAAATGCTAACCTAAACTAACATCTAGAATTTAAATTGTGCTTGCTATGGTAATTGAATTTCAAATTTTACAAAAAAAGAACACAATTAAACTTATCAAAGGACCATACCAAATAATCATAAAAACAATCATAATTAATCTCTTCTAAATTGATTTTCAAAACTTTCAATCAAAGAAGGAGTCTGCCTCATGACTATCCCATTCACCTCAAAGCTGTAGCACCACCAAATTCTACTTCACAATCTCTAGTGCCATTTAATACGAATTGCCCACATTGTCAGAGAACCTTTCATCTGAAAAAATAACAAACTCTCATTAACAATCTCATGCACACATACACATACTGCTTGTGGATTCATATTAGTGTACCAGGTTGTGATCTACCTATATATACTTGTGTAGAACTTTAAATCTTACCACTTCTATAGCTCTAAAACTGAATCAAACAAAAAAAAGTTATGATTATCATGGGCTAAACTTATCAGTATAAATGAAAGTTCTTTTCTTTTTTCACAGAAGCAGAACAACAAAAAGTTCAAATTATTCCATATATAAAACATACTGCCAATAACTACTAATGAATTGTGTCGAAACGTACAATTGCCCTAAAACCAACACGATGAAACAAAAAAATATCAAAATAAAAAGATGTTAAACAAAATTTGCATGGAAAAAACAAACATAGATCAATTATTAAAATTTAATCCACCAAAATTGAAAAATATTCAGGCGCATAACAAAAATAAAGACCCTGATGATAAAACCTTTCATAAATATCTCACAAAAACTATTTGATTTGCACCAAATAATATCAAGGCGATATACTCAAATCTGATTTTAAACTTTTTCAGAAGTTCAAGAAAGGCAGAGCATTATTGCTTTAGAAAATCATATCATCATACAAAAACCTATCCTTTATGTTAAAGATTTTTAAAAACTTTCACAGTTAGAAAATTAACAAAATACAGAGAATTATCTTAGTGACAAAAAAAACTCCCAATTTTGACCGGAATAAAAGCAAATGACTCTTGTTCAGGCCATTATTCTTGAGAACTATTTTTTTTATCAGTTTCTACATTATCAAAGATGTAACAGAACACCAAAGCTCTAATTTAACCTCAATTAGACCAAAGAAATCATAAAATCAAACCATTATAAGAGCACAATCAAACTACATGGATGCACCTTGCAAACTTGAGAAAATTAATTGTGAAAGAGTGGCCCTGTTTTTTCACTGGTGATGGATTTTGAAATGATTGAGAATAGATAGGGATGGGATTGAGAATGGTTTTTATCAAGGTTGTATGGCCAATGCATCACCCATATTCCCCAAAACATTACCTTCTGCAAGGAAAGAAAAAACATCAAGAATTTATAGCAGGATTTTATGATAGATTTAAAATTTTAGAACTCAAAAAATTTTTACATTGAAATCAAAATTTTGGTTTAAGGCATAATTGTCTTTGTAAGATCATTTAATGAAAAAATAGGAGTGTGACATTAATTATGAAGGATTACATAGTTGTATTATTGGGGGGGGGGGGATAAACGTGGAAAAAAAATTTCAACTATGTTGATATTTTACTCTTTAAAATAGTATAGATTATTATGCACTTAATTAACATCAATAAATATTTTTGACTCCAAATATAGAAAGAAATTTCACAAAAAAAAAAAAAATCTATGGCAATCCATATCACTCGACTAGTGCCTTCCTATATTGCCTTGTTTCCCTTCCTTTATGTGCTACCCTCCAATTTTTCTTGGTTTTCTTTCGATTTCTCTTCATTCTCTCCCACTCTCTCTCTCCTGCTTTTTTTTTTCCCACCATACTTTGATATTTCTCTCTTTCTGAGTTTTTTTGACTCCATTTTGGATCGATGGCGTGTGGGCTTAAAATATGTTTGATGGTGTTTGTGGTTGGTAACATTGAGGCATTGGTTGATGGTGCACCACAAGTGCCTTGTTACTTCATATTTGGAGACTCTCTGGTTGATAGTGGCAACAATAATGTTCTTGAGACAGTGGCCAAAGCCAATAACCTACCATATGGTGTTGATTTTCCTGGTGGACCAACCGGAAGGTTTTGCAATGGCCGGAATATAGCTGACATCATCGGTCTCTCTCTCTCTCTTTATTTTCCTTCTTGTTTATTCATATCTAATATCTTCAATTGCTAAAGTCATTATTAGGTTTGCATATCTTAACTTAGATTTTTGCACTATGCTTTTTTAAGTAAAAAATATTAAGTAACATTTGTTTTGTGTGGGAAATTTTTTTTTATAAAAAGCTCAGAAATAAAGATCATTATTTTTTTTTGTCTAAGTTGAGTTTGTTCCTCTGTGTTTATCGAATATTTAATAATTCTCTTAAGTATCTAAATAAAGATATTCTATTTGAAAAATTATTATCAAAATTTTTTTTTTTAAGCAAAAAACATGTTGATAAAAAATATTAACAAATGGTAACTTATGTTATTTATTCTTGTTGAAGCTGCCTTTTTTCTATAATCCAATTAAAATGACTACATAGAGGCACAATTCTGAATTCTCTAATTTGCGGAATATGTCAATCGTTTTGACTAATTTTTATTGTGAGAGAATCTTTATCCCTAAATTAGGCACTATTACGCGGAGAGAAACGACGAGATTCGAATCTGCGACTTAAAAATTCAAACCGCAAGTGCAGAGTGCATATCATTAGTTTATTGCATGTTTTCTATTTTATTTTCAGTTTTTTATGATATAAATTTATTGAAGTCTATTTTTAGTTGTGTGTATCCATCATTTTTGACCCGAAAGATAATCATTAAATCAATGCCAGAAACAAAACTGAAGGCTGGACTGGACACCACTTTCTCTCCCAGACAACCTATATCATAAACCTAATGAAAAACAACTGGAACGAATTTAATTGGTAACCCTCCAATTCTTCAAGATTCTCAACCAGAAGATCAAGTTTTCATTCTTTCTAAAAGGTAGAGATTGATTGCCAATAACGATATACCGGTCTACATAAAAAATAGGTTGAAAAAAAATATCTACAATCACTCGGTAAACCATAGGAAATCCACAGCAACGTAAATACAAAAAAAAACTGTTTCAAATATCTCACAGTAGTTGAGTTTGTAGCCATAATTAACTGATGATTTTGTCGTGCCCTTCTTTAGAGTTTCTCTTTATTCATATATGAACATTTTCTACTGTGTCATACATGTTATTCGGTATAACTATTGATTGTTCATTATAATGGTAATGTACTGACTTGCGTAAAAAAAACCAATTGACCACTTGTCCTTCTACTTGCAGCTGAGCATCTAGGTTTTGACAGTCATATTCAACCATTTGTAATTGCACAAGGCCAGGACATCCTCAATGGCATCAACTACGGATCTGGCGGATCTGGTATCCTCGATGAAACAGGACAACAACTGGTAATTACTAGTGCTTGTGTGCAATGTAGCACACATATTTATCATCTTTCAACACTTAATCAAGCATGGAGAATTAGTTTATTAATTACCGTCGTTGGATTAGCACAATGTTCCCAATATTACTTAGATTTTATTATCAGTCTAACAACAATGATGGGTTAGATTAGTATATGAGGACATGATGAGCGTCGCGAGTTTGAAAATTTAGATCTACCTTGCAGGGTGCTCGGATCAGCTTGGGTGGACAGTTAGAAAATCATCAAACTACAATATCAAAAATCAGCACAATTTTGGGCAACAATCAGTCAGCTATAGAGCACCTGAATAAGTGCTTATATTCAGTTGGAATGGGAAGCAATGACTACATCAACAACTACTTTATGCCCGAGCACTACAACACAAGTCGCCAACACAACCCAAATCAATATGCATCACTACTAATTCAACAATATTCCCTGCGTTTAAGGGTAATTAGTAATTATTTATTTACTCTTTCTTTTTTTTTACATTTTACCATTTTTTAATGTTTATTTTTTTAAAAAAATGGTTATATAGTTTAGGGGCCCGCCAACTGGCCAGGCCTACTCAACCTGCAAGTCAACCTTTTAGGATGGACCATGGCCCAAGGCCTTTCCATTGAACCAACCTTAACGAGCCTTCAATGGCTAGCCCTATTGGATTTTGCGAACTTATTCTAATTCCAAGCACTCGAATCGAATTGGTATGAATAATTATATCATTTTATTTATATTATTCTAGGCTTTGTACAACTATGGAGCAAGGAAGGTCGTGTTGTTTGCTCTTGGTCTAATTGGTTGTGCTCCATATGAATTGAAGAGGAACATTGGACTACCATGTGTGCCCCACATCAACCTAGCAGTCAACCTCTTTAATAACAAGCTTAAGGTTCTTGTAGATAACCTCAATCAACAGCTTGCTGGTGCAAAGTTCATTTATGTGAATACTACCGGAATTTCGACTACCATGGGTTTTGGTAGGTTACCTCAACTTCAAAGAACTGTGCCTCTTAGCTGCTTCTTTTTTTTTTTTTTTTTTTGCAAATGATATTTTGTCCCTCAATGATTTTAAAGTGTTCACGTCAGGTTATTAAAGATTAAAGTCCCCCATTGCACCTTGAACATCTTAAAATGGTAGTAATATGCTCCGACATCCTAAGAGAAATTTGGATTTTCACTGTCATATAAAAACTAATTGTTTTCAGGTCGTATGTAGAGTGATGAAAATTTTGACATAGTTTACTAAGTGGGCACATTGCTCCTATTTTGAGAAATTCAGGGTGTAACAAGAGATTTTTGACCTTTTAATGGATAAAATAAATATCGTTATATCTTTGAGGCGACAAAATGTTATTATCCATTTTTTGGTTTTTTGGTAATGAGCCTTTAAATGGCTGTAAAACTTAATACGCACGCAATCATTTCTAACCGAGTGCATCTGTTAAATCTAGATAATTGCGTGCATCCATCCGTTAAATCATTTTTAACAAACTAACAAGTTGGTTTACGTCTCATTGTCTTCATGAGCATCATCATCATCATCATCATCTTTCTCGTGTTTCGGCCATCTCAACGGAGAGGAAATATAATGGAGTATTTATGTTACTAATTTCACTAATTTATTTTAGGTTTTAGGTTTTCAAACGCTCCATGCTGTACAGTATCAACAGGCATTGGTGAAGGGCAGTGTCTTTCACAACAAGATCCATGTCCTAATAGGAATGAGTATGTCTTCTTTGATGCATTCCATCCTACTGAGGCTGCTAATGTGATCATGGGAGGGAGAGCATACACTTCTCAGAATCCGTTCGACACTTATCCGGTCGATATTCGAGGTCTAGTTCAGCTCTAGTAAAAAAAATATAATTAGCTCCATCGTTCGACTGTCATTGTTGCATAAAAAATAGAATGGTTTTTTTGTAAGACCTTTCTTCTTTCAATTTTTGGTCATTGTAATCAATTAAGCCCACATTTTTTTCAATGTTGTGGCTTTATTTCTATGAAAATGGAGATTTTAATTCAATGTATGATATGTTGAGTTTTTGATATATTCCTATATTTCCACAATGTAGTGAGAACAACAAAGGTCGTTGCTGGTTGAAATGAAAAATAGTTCCAACGTTAGTAAATAATGGATGGACAAATCACACATGTAAGAATGAAGAAAGGGCTAGTTACAATTTTCGGGCCACGCAAAGTTATAGGTAATGCGACCCGACCTATGACCCACACCATTGCACATAGTACAGGCTAGGCACGGGCCATGACACTCGTATTAATTGACAATTCTTGAATCATGTTGCAAGAAAAAACAATGCTACACAAATTTAAAATTTAACTTGATGATGTAGTTATTATATTTATCATTGATTTAACTGCAAGTTCCAGTATTTATTGAAACTCTCTACTTATTCAATAATTGTGATTCATTAAATCAAGTTTTGAAGTTAATTTTTTAAATCTATTTAGTATTTTCTTGCAAGAAAATACCATCGGCCCATCGGGCTGGTCCAGAGAAAACAACATTTTATTGATTGAAACAAAGATTTGGGACAGAGAGAGAAAGCTTTTTATAGAATAAAAATGAAAGATTTAAGATATTTCTAACATTTTTGAGTGGTATTTTCATAAACAATTCAAAAATTCAAAAAATAAATAATTTTTTTATTTGTAGTCCTGTAGGCCTTTGACGGCTCATGGGCAAGATCGACCTTACTGATTTAGCTGAGACAAGAAAATATTTAGGCCTGCAACTTTTAATTTTTAAATTCTAATTTTAAAATTTTATAATAAAGAAATATAAATTGGGCAGATTGATGACGGGCCTGGTAATGCTGTGGTCCGCACCAGTACTACTCTAACTTGGGCTAGGGTTATATTTAGAGATGTTAGACGTCTCGGATTAAACGATTATGTGTTGAGTTAAACATGTGACAGATAAAAAATATGTAAACTCATACACAACTCGTTTAATAAACGGGTGAAAAACTTAAACACGAAAATGAACATTTAATAAACGGTAATACGACACGACTCGTTTAACTCGCTAAGTTTTAGTTTATTATTATATTTTTGTGGCTGTCCCTAAATTAAAAAAAAAAAAATCTGTGGCTATCACTAAAAATAGTATATATATTTTATGTGGCTTTCACTAAAAAAAAATTGCCTTATTTTTTAAAATAATTATTAATTTATTATTATATTAATTTTATTTAAATAGATAAATGAGTGATAATTAGGTTGACAGGACTCACTTGAACACGATCCGTTTATTAAACATGTTAAACGGGTCAATCTGTTTACCATCCGAATCCATTAAAATTTCACCCAAACTTGCTTAATTCATATTAATTCGTATAAATTAATCGCGTTGTGTCGAACTCAAAGAGACGTGGACTTATATCTGATCAAATCCTTCGGGCCAAGCATCCGATCGCCAAGAGCCCACATGTTCTTATCGAACTAGCCAGCTGTTTTACACTTAGAATGTGATCTATGTACTAATGTACTTTTTATTGGCCAATGTTGGATAGACACAAAACACATATATTATATTCAATGGAAAGGAGGGTGCATCGCATCATTAACGACATATAATACTATTATTTAATAAAAAAAATACCAAATAAACTCGATTATTCTAATAACTACTGAAAATTAGCATATTCAATCATCAACACATTGAATTAATATGATTTATTTTATGTACTTATTATTTTTTTTTATTAAACAGTAATATCCTATAACAATGGTAACATGATATAATTACAACATTATTTTAATACGACATTGGACCTAGACCATGCAACGAATGAAGAACAAAGGACAAAGCAAAGAATCACGGGGGCAAAACAATTAGTACGTAAGAGACTTTGGGAGTCTTGAAACAGATTGGCAGCACCCAAACCACACATCATCACACTACTTTTTTTTTTAGAAAGGATTCACTTCTGGTAGTGAGTGGTGGATTGACTTAGAGAGGGTTACAGGCCACTAGTGCATCGCAAGAATATAATATCCCAACTATGATCTAGGACAAACAATGGACACCCCAATTATAATAAAATTTTCAATAAATTATACAAAACTTTATCATTTTTCCACATCAGCAAAGGCTAATTAATACAAAATTTCCACGTCACAGACATAAGCATACGTGTAACAAAAAAGAATTCATTGGTTGGTCGGTAAGATTGACGCAGTCACTAACCCCAAATTTATCTACGAGACATCAATAATGCCAATAATATGTCAAAAACCAAAAGACTTTTTTTAAAAGTTATTATTCTTATTATTACAATTGTTAGATAGCATATTCGAACTAAATATATACCTCCACTCACTCAAGGTAGAGTTAACCATCTCATCTCAGGTAGACTTAAATAACTAAAAACCAATAGACTGCCTTAATATGATCTATTATTATTAATATTATATTGGAGGTGCCCAGGAGTCAAATAGACATAGATATTATGTGCAAACACTGTTATATTAAGAAATTAAACAAATGCAACTTGAAAAACCCTTCAATATCTTATATCTTCCCATGCTAATCTTGTAACTTTTAGTCTCTTGTTTGTCCAAAAAAACCATTACTTATTAGGAACTATAGTACCAATTATCAACTCCACTTAGGTTCTTGTTAGTGGCACTAATATTTCCTATGCTATCTTTTTCCATGATGCTAAAGTATGTATTATGGTGCTAAAAACATTTGACGTGCCGACTAATTAATATTGCTCTTTATCGTACCCAAAATGTTTATTTAACTTAAAAACAAAAAAAAAAACAAAAAAAAAAGGTTTTAGATCCACTCCCAAGTATTTCAATTAATCAAAGATGACGACCTCTATATTGGTGCGACACTCACTTATACATAATGGATCTCACTTCATTTTATAATCAATGGTCAATAATTGACGAAAATTGTTACAAAAAACATATTTGAAAAGATCTGAATTCCGAAATATGAGTAGCGTTCAAAATTGTGGCCAATAATCAGTGTCTATGCAAATGTGTAATATCAAGGCCAATGTTAATGGCATGTTTAGACCAAGTCTAATAATGTATGTTGGTTGTTATCTTAAAACTCTAGGCATAAAGCCTCTTGTGCCTATATTTGACTTTACGTAATACATCATCCTAACGGGCCTGTCAAAAATGGAGAGACATATAAGGTTTTGAAGATGATTCTAGGTTTAGGTAATCTCCATAGGCCCCAACCAAATAAATACAAAGAAATTATCAAACATATATAAACGTGAAAAGAAAAAAAAAAAAACATAAACTAGGATGACCCAACATTAGAAAGAAGGAGACGCATTAGTTCGAAACCAGGAAGGCACAAGTTAGCCACACACGTCTATACATGGAAATGCTGCTAAAAGCCGTCCCTACCCCACACACACTAACACACAATA